AATTATAGATGCATAAATTTAATAGTTATTAATATTTAGTGCCTAAAATTATTTTTTTACACATAAGTCCTCAAAATATTGATTCAAAATTACATTTTAGTTCCTACAACTTTTATGTTATATTTTGATACCTTAACTTTTTAAATGTACAAATAGGTCCACTGTTATGAGGTTTGTGGTATGCTTTATGAGCTTTTTTTAATAAAATTGTGGTAGCTTTAATAAACTTTTGGTATGCTTTATGAGGTTTCTGGTGTGCTTCAGTGACTAGTGGTTTGCTTTGTGAGGGTTCTGACGTGTTGTAGAAAACTTGTGGTTTGCGTAAATAAAATTCTGGTTGCTTTAATAAATTTGTGGTATGCTTAATTAGGTTTCTGATGTGCTTTAGTGGAGTTGAAGTTTGCTTTCTTAGAGTTCGATGTGTTTTACAAAACTTGTGGTTGCTTTAATAAACTTGTGATCTGCTTTATGAGTTTCTAGTGTGCTTCAATGGATTTGTGGTATGCTTTGTCAGGGTTATGGTGAGTTTTAGAAAACTTGTATTTTGCTTAAATAAACTTGTGGTGTGCTTTATGGAGCTTGTGATATGGTTACTTGTAGGGGTGTTCAAACGGTTTGGTTACCGTGGTAACCGTTTTAACCGGTACTATTTGGATAATTTGGTTTGGTTAATTTGGATAATTGGTTTGGTTTGGTTAAAGTTTTTAGCTTGTTTGGTTTAGGTGGTTTGGTTTGGTTTAAGACTGTTTTCCGGCGAGGAAAAACTTGTGTTTGATTTCAAACAATGCACCTTGACTTCTTGAACAATGATTAAAAACACGGTTCACACCTCTCCGAACAATGTTCGAACGAGGGTGTTTGATGATTTTGATGGCTGATAAAACTAAGTTAAATTACTTCTACTCCTATGGAGGTTCAGTGAGAGCTCCAAAAACTAAAAACTGATTTGCAGGGAAAAGATAAATTTTGACATAGTGTGTCAAATGATTGGTTGTGGAACCCTTGCTTCTTCTTCGTTTCTTCTATTTATAGCCACTAGGTGTAACTGCCTTGGTAACCGCCTTGGTAACTGCTAGCTGGCCTCTTGCTCCAAACCGCCTCGGGGTCCTCTTTTCATTGCCTTGATTGCCAATTGATAACCGTTGTCTTGGTCTTCACCTCCATTGCCTTGGAGCTCCTTGACCCGTCTTGTTGACTGGTTTATGAGCCCTGTCGCCCTGTCATAACTGGATGGGGTTGAGGCTCTTGCCTTAGCCTCCATGAACCATGATGAGGTCTTGATCTCATCCTCGATAGCCCTGACGACTCCACACTCCTCATCTTAGTAGCCACCTCGACGAACCGTCTTGATAGCTAGGCCACATTACCCACCTAGACAGGATGAGAACTTGGCCCCTTGCTACCCGCCAAGTTTTAGTCTTAGAAAGACTGTCATGGGACCACTTGTTATCTTGGTATCAAGCTTGTCTTGTCGACCCTTGCTACCCGCACCGCCTTGCCATCATCGTCTTGTTAGCTAGGCTTTGTCACCCAAGCTTGTCTTATCAGCTTGATATCCCCTGCTACCAAGCCGACCCTGTCGGCCCGGTCTCCATACTTAGTTTTTAGAATCTCATCTTGATATCTTGCACCCCGCCAGCTTGGGGGCTCTATGAGTCCTCATCATATGGACACCCTTAGCTTGGCATCCTGGCGATCCATCCACGTGGCTCGATGCTGGCTGGCTTGATACCCCCTTGGGGTCATGGTACCTTGTCGCCTTGCTTGGCTGCCAAGCCTGTCGGCTTGATACCCCTATGGCTCCATACTTAGCCAATTCTCATATACTTTGGTACGAGGCCCTCCTTGCCGGCTTGGTACCCGGTCGTTTGGCACCCCGTTGTGCCACCCTCTTGTCTTCATATGGCCTCCTATTTGGTACCCAGCTTAGTACCCGGCCCTTTGGCACCCCGTTGTGTCGCCTTGTTTCCAAGACATAGCTTTTTGGATGGCCTCCTGTTTGGTAGCCTGCTTGGTACCCGGCCGTTTGGCACCCCATTGTGTCGCCTTGTTTTCAAGACTTTGCTTTTTGGATGGCCTCCTGTTTGGTAGCCTGCTTGGTACCCGACCGTTTTGCACCCCGTTGGGTCGCCTTGTTTCCCATACTTAACCTTTGGATGGCCTCCTATTTGGTATCCAGCTTGGTACCCGGCCGTTTGGCCCCGTTGTGCCTGCCTTGTTGGCTTGATACCCTCTTGTTTGGCCCCCTTATTTGGTACCAGGCTTGGTACCCGGTCGTTTAGCACCCCGTTGTGTCGCCTTGTTTTTCATACTTAGCCAAATTTCTTACTTAGGTATCAGGCCTGCCTTGTCGGCTTGATACTCTCTTGTTTGACCCCCTTATTTGGTACCAGGCTTGGTACCCAGTCGTTTGGCACCCCGTTGTGTCGTCTTGTTTCCAAGACTTAGTTTTTGTAGGCCAAATTTCATACTAAGGGGTGGAGGCGTCGTCCGGCTATGGGGGCCTCGGAGACGGGTCAGCCATCGTATAGAGGAGAAGGGGGTTGGTCACTTAGGCCCAAAAATCTAACCCAACTAGGCCCAGCTGGCTCTTTTAATCATTAATGTTGAGCTGGCCTTATAAATCCATTAATCCCCTTGTAATTAATCGATGTGGTACAAGCTGATTTTTTTATGGGTAAACAAATGCCCCCCATAACTTAGTGTATAAGAATTATGCACTAAGTTGTTGAACTCAACTTGACCACCGAAAAACAATACTTATCTCGACACCATCTTCCTTAGCCAAATTTTGGCTTTGATTCCAAAGCCATGCACCGATAGCCTTTTATAGAATGCTAGGCCCCGACAGAAGGAAGTAAAACTTAACTAGCTCAATTTCCTTTCCATATCATGGCTAGCTACTCAAGCCATGCTTTATCACGAGGGTATCATGCCATGTCTTAGGGTGTGGGAGGCTTGGCATGCCGGCCACCATGGTGGCCGCCCAACATTGAACCCCTTGACACCTCACGTCCCAAAGAGAAGGGACATAAGGCTTGACACCTCATTGTCTTGTTAGCTAGGCTTTGTCACCCAAGCTTGTCTTATCAGCTTGATATCCCCTGCTACCAAGCCGACCCTGTCGGCCCGGTCTCCATACTTAGTTTTTAGAATCTCATCTTGATATCTTGCACCCCGCCAGCTTGGGGGCTCTATAAGTCCTCATCATATGGACACCCTTAGCTTGGCATCCTGGCGATCCATCCACGTGGCTCGATGCTGGCCGGTTTGATACCCCCTTGGGGTCATGGTACCTTGTCGCCTTGCTTGGCTGCCAAGCCTATCGGCTTGATACCCCTATGGCTCCATACTTAGCCAATTCTCATATACTTTGGTACGAGGCCCTCCTTGCCGGCTTGGTACCCGGTCGTTTGGCACCCCGTTGTGCCGCCCTCTTGTCTTCATATGGCCTCCTATTTGGTACCCGGCTTAGTACCCGGCCCTTTGGCACCCCGTTGTGTCGCCTTGTTTCCAAGACTTAGCTTTTTGGATGGCCTCCTGTTTGGTAGCCTGCTTGGTACCCGGCCGTTTGGCACCCAATTGTGTCGCCTTGTTTCCAAGACTTAGCTTTTTGGATGGCCTCCTGTTTGGTAGCCTGCTTGGTACCCGACCGTTTGGCACCCCGTTGGGTCGCCTTGTTTCCCATACTTAACCTTTGGATGGCCTCCTATTTGGTATCCGGCTTGGTACCTGGCCGTTTGGCCCCGTTGTGTCGCCTTGTTTTCCATACTTAGCCAAATTTCTTACTTGGGTATCAGGCCTGCCTTGTCGGCTTGATACCCTCTTGTTTGGCCCCCTTATTTGGTACTAGGCTTGGTACCCGGTCGTTTAGCACCCCGTTGTGTCGCCTTGTTTTCCATACTTAGCCAAATTTCTTACTTGGGTATCAGGCCTGCCTTGTCGGCTTGATACTCTCTTGTTTGGCCCCCCTTATTTGGTACCAGGCTTGGTACCCAGTCATTTTGCACCCCGTTGTGTCGTCTTGTTTCCAAGACTTAGTTTTTGTAGGCCAAATTTCATACTAAGGGGTGGAGGCGTCGTCCGGCTATTGGGGCCTCGGAGACGAGTCAACCATCGTATAGAGGAGAAGGGGGTTGGTCACTTAGGCCCAAAAATCTAACCCAACTAGGCCTAGCTGGCTCTTTTTTTATGGGTAAACAAAGACACTTCTAACCAGTCAAACCAAATTAACCAGTTAATTAACAGAGATATGGTGGGACGCAACAATTTCACTGTGAGAGTAGAGGGTCGAAGGCACGTCGGAGGAGGATGGGTGACGTTCTAGGTTTAGGTTTTTCGTATATCTTTACTGGGAGAGAGAGGCTGAACGGGAACAAAGAGATGGAGTGACGATGGGGGAATTTGGATTGGGGTTGAAGACGAATATACTTTTTTTTTAATAAACAATGGTGGGTTTAGTTTTGGTTTTTATAATAATTTTATGCTTTATTTATTTTAATTTTTGTTATAATGAGGTTGAAATTGTAACAAATTGATTTTTATTAATTTTTTTATTTGTCACGACACTTTTTTTAGGTCAACCGTAAGGGTTGGCTGCCATGTTAGAAAAAATAATGGAGACTAACGGAGAGTGACCAGACATGAACTGTTGAACTAGTCTCAGTGATCACAAATAAAATAAAGTAATTTTAGTGACTAAAAGTAGAATTTTTATTAGTAATTTTAGTTACCAAACTTGCAATTTACCCTTTTCAAATTAAAGTATAAAGATAAGGCATAAGGATAATATATATAAAATAATAAATCAAGGACAGACCGGAAAAGGAAACCAAATATCTATTTAAGAAAAAATCATAAAATAATTAACGGATATAAAGAAACGTTATCCTGCCCCCTACAGGGACAAAATAGTCATTCCGTACTTCCAAATCAGCGAACGATCCTCCGGCTTCCTAGTCTCATCCAATCATCTTCCATGCTCGCACGCAACCTAAATTACTCCATTACTCTTCCTTTATCTCTGAACAGCCCAAATAAATCTTTTCCCCCTTTCCTTTCTTCCGTTCCATACAAAGCTACTCTCGCTCTAGAACCCGTTTCTCTCTCTACGCCCCAATAGTCTCCGCCGGCGACTTACACCCTCCGGAACGCCAATTTGCTCTGCGTGTTATTCCCTCCGGTGAGCCGTCTGATTTTGCGTGGTTAATTTTTTGTTCTCGGGCCGAGTCGTGAATGAGATGACTCGGCGGTGCTCGCATTGCAGCAACAACGGGCACAACTCCAGGACCTGTCCCACGCGCTCGTCGGCTACCGGAGGCGGCGCTGGCGGCCCGTCGTCGTCTTCTCTTTCGTCTCCCGGCGTTAGGCTGTTCGGCGTTAGGCTAACCGATGGCTCGATTATTAAGAAGAGCGCTAGTATGGGGAACTTATCCGCGCACTACCACTCCTCGTCGTCCGCCGCCGCTTCCCCTAATCAAGACTCTCCCGTCTCTGATCATCTCCGCGACTCGGGTCGCGTAGCCGACGGGTATCTGTCCGATGACCCGGCCCATGGGAGCTCTTCAAATCGACGCGGAGAGAGAAAGAAAGGTACAAAACAAAAAGAGACAAATTCAATATCCTCTGTTCTGTTTTACCGCGAACAAAAAGTATAACCCCGCCATATGATAAGGGAAAAACAAATATTTTAATTCTGTTGGTTTGTTTCGCGGAATGGATTTTCAGCCTATACTGGTGTCAGTTTGTGGAGATTATTCATCAATTTAGTGGATGGATTGTGTTTTTGGGGTTATATAATTGTCATCGTCAATGGTTACTTAGTGCTGTTTCATCCTTTTGCCACTGCATCAATTTGAAAATTGTATCAGGAGAATTGTCTGGAAGGGTAGATTGATATGCAGATTACTCAGTTGGTGTTCAAATTAGACTGTTGTTGGTATTGCCGAGTGCCGAGTGCTTGAATTTTTCCTTAAATTTGGTAAAGGTTTGATTTTTGGGATTGATAAGAGCTGAAACACTAAGATAGTTGGTCTTAATGGATGTGTATCCCTTGGGTTTTGCTTGTGATATCTTTTTGTTTCTACTTGTTTCTCACTTAGCTTTGGATTGATGTATCTGTACTGTGGGCTGTCGAAAAAAGGATATTGTTTGCGGTCCCACGGAGGTAAAGACAGTAAATCATTGTGCCATTATTGCATTTGGTATCTTCGATGAGAAAAAGAAAACAATGTGGAGTTTTCATAGTTGTCCATTGGATAATGGGAACTATGTCAAGTTGCTCTTTTTCAGCCTTGTGAATTGTAATGGCATAGAGCTACCCTCCGTACCTTTGTGCATGCACTTGTGACAATCTTCATTGTTTTGGTTTGGATGTAGTGATAACTTTTTTTAGCTGACTTTCTTTACGAGGTTTTGTCCATTAGCTGATTGGAAATGTGGAAGTGATGTGAGCCGTTGTTTCAGTAGTACTTTCTGGCTACTGGTTTTCTGCGAAGTCTTTGAGTTGTGAAGGAATGTACGGTTTTCTCAGTTACTTCCACATGCTTTATGGCATGAGATAGTTATAGGTTTGGAGAATGATATTAGTTAAGTGATTGGTGGTGCAAGCCATTGAATGCTTGCAAACTGGAGGGGGTATGGTAGTTTTATAACAGGTCATTGTGTTAGATAGGATGACCAATATATAATATTCAACACACTCTGGTTAATCCTCTGTAGGGAATAGAAGAATGCTGAAAGCTTCCTTTTCCTTATTGATTTGATCCTTGCCGAATTGGTTGTGATGGCAGTGGTGAGCTCGATAGAGGGTAATAGGTAGGAGAATTTGAAATTATTGTCACTAGATTATTCAGGGTACATATCTTGGTTTTGGTACTGGTGATGTGATGCAATGACTCGACTTCATTTTCTTAGTGTAGGTTTCTGATTTTCTTAACATCAGGACCTCATAAGTCATCATTCAGAGGATAACATGTCTAATATTTATGACCATCTGCCTGCCACTGGCATTCATTATACACATCGGGTTCTTGTTTATGTGTGACTTTTGACTTTAGTGCTGCCTTTGTTTCTTACTAGCCCACTTTATAATTGTTCTGTAGGAATGGTGTTTGCGGTTTTGAAGTCGCCAATCTGAATTTATCAAGTTTTCGTTACCAATGAAGAACATATATTGTAGTTATTCTTCCTAGTGAAGGTTTCATGATTCCTTCTGCATCTTTAATTATCAAGTTTCTGTTTGCATGAAGAAAATTGTCAGTAGTTATTATTTAGATGGGCTTGTTAATCTCTGAAGTTAAGTTTTCGGTTGTCTGCTCCATGTATCTAACCTTATACTTCTGATCTGGATTTAGGTGTCCCCTGGACAGAGGAGGAGCATCGATTATTCTTAGTTGGTCTTCAAAAACTAGGGAAAGGAGATTGGCGTGGAATAGCTCGGAACTATGTAGTGTCTAGAACCCCTACGCAGGTGGCTAGTCATGCTCAGAAGTATTTCATTCGTCAGACCAATGCCACTCGAAGAAAGAGAAGATCAAGCCTTTTCGACATGGTCCCAGACTTGGTATGATCCATTCCATGAATTCCTTCTATATGCATGTCTCCAGAATTTTCTCATTCTGATGTTCTTACCTCATAAATCAGGTATCTGATCCACAATCAGTCCCAGAAGATGAAGAATTGCTGCCCTCTTTGCAGGAAAGGGAAAGCGAGAATAATAATAATAATCCAGACTCGCTTCCATCGTTGAATCTCTCTCTGAATTCGGAGTATGAACCGATGGAAACCACGTCTGAAGAACCTCATCGTAAGGACGAGGAATCCAACGAGACCACTGTTAATGTTCCTGGACCAACTCAATCAAGTGAGCTCCCGCCTGTAGTTCCCTCGTCAAGTGAATTCACACCATTTGGATTCATTCCGGCATTCGTTCCAGTCCCTTACCCATTCTGGCCTGCTAATGCGATCCCTGTGGAGGGAGGGGGAGCCGTGGTTGGGGAAACATCCAATCATCACCAGGTGCTGAGGCCAGTTGCAGTTGTTCCCAAGGAGCCGGTCAATGTGGATGAACTCGTTGGGATATCTCAATTGAGCCTCGGAGATCCCAAGGAGGCGAATCCTTTGCCGCCGCTGTCACTGAAATTGACTGCTGAGGCTTCGAGGCAGTCGGCGTTTCACGCCAACACTGCTGCTCCGGTGAACGGTTCAGATATTGGCAAGGGAAAGGGAAGCCCCATTCAAGCAGTCTAGTCTAGTGAGGCTTCTTTCAGGCTGAAGGTGTCCTCTTTTTAGTTTTCTTTTTTTCCCTGTACAATTATGTTATACTATTTATCTGGTGTTATGATAGGTGTTGAAAAGGGAAAGGAAGTTTTGTTGTAGGGGGGCAGATTTGGTGGTATGAATGTGGGTTTAGAGATGTAGGTGTGATGGTTTGATAATGCTTATTCTTTTTTTTCTAACTGTAATTTAGAGACAAATGGATAATTGTAGTGGGGAAGTGCAGCTAAGTTGCCCATTTCATTTTTGATCTCTTGTTGGCCCCCAAACATTGTTTGATGATACAAAGCTACCAGCTACTGCTAGAACAGATCCAAATTGATAGAAATTAACGGATAACAACAGCACAGGATACCCTTGGATTTTAAACATGCTTAACTGATAAAAACATGTTAATAGAAGCAAAGAAACATTTCAGAAGCGCTTGATGAAGTCATAGATGTGTTGGGTGATCTCCTGCGGTTTGACCAAGTTGGGGAAATGAGGCACTCCTTCCATCACCACCACTTCTTCAAGCAGCGGCACTTCCTTCTTGAACTCCTCGCTGTGAATGTAGTCCTTCATCCCCACCATGCCGTAAACTACATCCTGATCTCCGACAATGAACTTGGCCGGCACTGTGTACTTGCAATCTCCTCCAGCCCACGGCCCCATCAGCTCCCCTGTCCTGCGAAGTTACAGAAAAATAGGAGTCAGATTATGCAATAGATGGAAGAAGATATTGCAATGGAAGTGAAGTGATGAATGATGATTGTGTACAAGGGGAAGGCTCGATAGTAGTTGAGGCCGCCGGTGAAGCCGGATTTCTGGAACTTGGAAGCGTAGTACTCGACATCTTCCTCGGACAGCCAGGACGGCAAGCTGGGCGGGTCGGGTAGTCCCCGGAAACGGGTTTCTCTCGGCACCATCGGCGGGTCGGGCTTGCTGAATAATGTGAAAAGCTTCACCATCAGCTTACCCGTCTCCACCTCAGCAAACTCCTCTTCTACTTTCCCCACTTCCTGCACGAGATTTCGTAGATAATTGAATTGAATCGAAATAAAAACACATCTGCTTCAATTTGCTAATCTAAGAATGAATCAAACTATAAGTTCGATGGTCTGATTCAAAACTGTACCCTGTTTTTTGGGCAAAAGTACGCACCTGAAACCTGCAGAAGTAGTATTCATCGCCGTAGACAGCTCGAAAGGCGTCGACGAGGTTAAGCGCAGGGGACTGGCGAGTTGGCGGGGCGCTGAGGTTGACCACCGCCGTGACCCGATCGGGTCGGAACCTGCAAAAGTACCAGGCCATGGCGGCTCCCCAATCGTGGCCGACCAAGAAGACCTTTTCGATCTTGAGGGCGTCGAGGAGGCCGACGAGGTCGCCGACGATGTGGAAGGCGGTGTACTTGGCCGGAGATGAGGGTGCGTCGGTGTCGCCGAACCCGCGGAGGTCCGGGGCGATGCAGCGGTAGCCGAGGGCGGAGAGGGAGAGGAGCTGGTGGCGCCACGTGTACCAGAGCTCCGGGAAGCCATGGAGGAAGAGGATCGTCGCCGGCCCGGCTCCGATCGAGGCCACGTGCATGTTGATTCCGTTGGTGGAGATTGTGGAGTGGGTGATTGACTGGTCGCCGCCTTCCGCCGCCATCTGGACGCTTCCGATGGGAGTAGTGTAGACGGCTGAGAATGCTCTTCCTGCGGACTTTGTAGATGGCCGGCTGGGTTTTCCAAATGAGGAGAGCTCTAATTACTAATTACTAATTAGTGGTTGTTCGGATTTATAAGGATTTGATAATGACATGGATTGGGTTCACATGTGACTTTTGACTTGTCCATTAGTCTGTAATGCTTAGGGGTCTGCGCCCCGATCTCATCAGCATTATGAGATTTCTATAGCTTAGTGACTAAGTAGATTTGTACTGTTGTGTCGTTATATTAAATGCAAAATTTGAACTTATCTTTCAAAAGCATTTCGGATAAATTGCAAGGTTTGTCACTCAAATTACTAAAAAGGTTTTTCTTTAGTCACTGAAAATATTTTTCTCATTCATGATTACTAGGATTAGTTACACATTTCAAGTATGATCACTCTCCGTTAGTCTCTGACAGCCTCCGTTAACACCGTCAAATTTTCGCTGATGTGGCTAATAGAAGTACCAACCCAATGAATTTTAACCCAAAAAAATTTCAAACCCGAACTGCCACATCATTAAACCCGTCACGTCATTAAACTCAACCCAACTTAACCCAACCGATGGCCCGACCCGACCCTTCATCTTCTTCTTCTTATTTTCGACAGCAGCAGGAAGTCCAGACAGCTTTCAATGCAGCCGTAGAAGCAGGAACACCTGCCATTGAGAAGAAGGGGAAACAAGATCAGAGAGACCCATTAATCCTAACCAGTAAACAAAATTGAAAAAATTAGAGGGAAACGAAGTTGAGTTGTGTAGGGGAAAGCATACCATTAGTTGATGACTTGGTCTTGGAATTGGAATTCATTGTCGCTTCCTCCTCTGCCTCCAAACTGGAATCTGGAAGTCTGAACTGGAAAATTGAATTGGAATTGGAGTTCTAGAGTAGCATAAGAAGATGATAGAAGCAGATGGTGGCCAGTGTCGTCGCCATTGACATGCCAGATCTCTACGAGGCTGAGGAGATTATCAAGAAGTTAGAAGGCATGCCCCTCTAACCGTCCTCCGTTCTTCAAGTCGTCGCCGCGAACGCCACCTCTCCGGCGATGACTTCTTCCTTTTCCCCATTCAACCTAAGCGCGGAAGCACCAACTTGAATTCACTCTCCCCTTCAATTCGTCAGATCCAAATCCGTCGGTGGCGTTTCATGTTTGAAGGGTTCCCTCAGGAACCAAAACGTTGTCGTGTGGCTTAGTTTAGTAGACATCAATTAATAATGTTTTACGTTGGTAATATCCAGTGTTTCCTTGACACGTGGCAAACCCATATTAGTACTGTTAAACACCTATCGAGTTGATATAAAAAGAAAGAGCAACAACCCTTCTTCCTTAAGGGTCTGCCTACACCAAAACTACATTCTCTCTCTCTCTCTCTTTAAAAGTTCGTATGGTATCAGAGCGGTGACGATCTAGGGCAAGCTCGATGTCAGGCACACCTCCAGTCACACCTCATGGACGAGGAAATAGATCTAGTGGCTCAACTGGATGAACTTTCAGTTTGGATCCTTTGATAGTCAGCACCAACAGAATCAACCCAGATATGAGATAATCACCTTTGGAAACCCCTTTTACCTGAACCCAAACGAGGCATTGAATCAATCAATTGGTACAAGGTTTTTGATGGAACCAATTATACAATGTGGAGTAGATCTATAGTGATGGATTTGAAGATGAAACTCAAAATGGGTTTCATTCGATGGTACTATACCTACACCTGCTGTGAATGATGATAAAATTATGTTGTGAGATGGTTGTAATACTGTTGCCTTGTCATGGATTCTGAATTCCCTGCACAAGGACTTGAGAAGGTCAGTTATGAACCATGTGAATGCAAAAGTATTGTGGGATGAACTGAAGCGCAGGTTTGGTAAACCAAATGCTGCGAGAATCATCAATATGGAGGATGATATTCAACAATGTAAGCAAGGTAATCTCACTATTAATGATTACAACACCAAAATCAACGGACTTTGGGAAGAGTACTCGCAATTTAGTCCTATTGTTCCCTGTAATTGTGTTCCAAAGAACCCAAATCCTTGTGATGTTGTTACTGCTTACACAGAAAGACAGGAGACTGGTTATTTGATTCGGTTTCTTAGAGGTCTAAACCCAGATTTTGAAGTTGTGAAAACCCAGATACTTATGCAGAAACCTCTCCCAAGTGTTTCAGAAGAAGTTGATGACTTATTGTAGCATGAACGAAAGGCGAAAGGAGAGGGTACTGGAAAAAGAGCACAAACTGTTGCTCTGGCTGTGAACTCAGACACACCAGCAGGACAAAGAAATCAAGACAAGCAAGATTGTGTCTACTACACGAAGACTAATCATGTTGTTGATGACTGTTGGAGGAAGACGAGAAGGGATAAAGAACTAGCAGTTGGTAACAAGTCTAGTAATTCACAGAGTAGTACATCACGTTTTGCAAGCTCAGTATCGCAAGGGAGTTCAGGAGATTCACATACTGAAGGTAGTGTGAATGGTGATTCATCTGGAGGTAGCCCAGTACATTTTGCTAATTCTATTGTAGGCTTTACTCCTGAAGAAATGGCCAGATTGAGGCTCATGATGCAGTCTAGTGCTAACAATGTCATTTCACCACCTCTTTCCCCTACCATTTCACACAATGCCTTCTCAGTATCCCAATATATGCCACCATTCCCAAACTATTCAGGTAAGTATGTCCTGTCTGCTCATAGTGACAACCATTCCCAAACTATTCTAGATACTAGAGGTCTTTATCAACTCTCCTTTCAACCACCACAACTTCTAACCAACTTTCACCTCCACCACAAAGTAGCAGCAACCCTCAACTTTAGTACACAACGGTTTGATCTATGGCATTGGAGATTAGGTCATCCTAGTAGTGATAGGATTTCCTTGTTACAACAATCTGATTCCACTATAACTGCTACTAAAGTATCTCATTGTGATGTTTGCCATTATTCCAATCACAAGAAACTTCCCTTTCCTGTTAGCACTAGTCATGCAAATTATTTATTCCAATTGATCCATAGACATTTGGGGGCCACTTTTTGTTCATTCTTATGATGGATTTGCTTATTTTCTTACCGTGGTTGATGATTATTCAAGACCGACAACCTTGTTTTAAATTTTTGTCACATTTGACCTATCTTGACGGCGATAAAATGACAAACTTTTGTGACAACACCTTTTGTCATATTATACCTAATATGACAAAAGGGTATCTAATATGACAAAATTTCCCCGTCATAATAGGCCGAATTTGTTGTAGTGGTTGCACGAACCGCTTGACCTCACGCCGCATCGACGACCAGAATAATTCTCCTACATGAGCTGCAAAGTTCTGTCTTGCCCAATGTGACCCTCGACATGCAACTTGCGGATGATTAATGTTCACAGACTGAACTCGGAAATACATAATTGATTCCCTTTGAAGAGGAACCCATCTTGCCATAAGTACTCTGTTCTTGCACCATCTTGCATCCGCGTAATCACAAAAGAAAAGAAAGAGTCAGTGGCCAACAAATCAAAAAAAGATGGAAACCCTGGTACCTCAACAATCATGCGGCCCAAGAGACTCCGCCTATGGCTCAATGCATCAGCCACCTTGTTAGTGACCCCACTCGTGTGTGTCACCACGAACGTGAAGTGCTCCAGATAGGCCACCCACGCGGCATGACAGGCGGATACCTTGTCTTTTCCATGAAGGTTATTGAGGGCCTCATGATCAGTGTACAAGATGAACTCACGATGGAATAGATAGTAGCGCCAATGTTTCACCTCCTGGACAACAACATAGAATTCCACATTGTACGTGCTATACCGTAACATCGCGTCATTTAGTTTCTCGCTGAAGTAGTTTATAGGACGACGGTTCTCATTGAGGACAACGCCAATCCCCACCTTGGAAGCATCCGAATGGAGCTCGAAAGGTTGGAGAAAGTCGGGTAGCACTAGTATCAGAGCAGTTGTCAATTTCACCTTGATTTGCTCAAAAGTTGTGTCCCCCTCGCCAGTCCAAATAAAGAGACTAAGCCGCATGCAATCTGTGATCAATGCCATGATCCTGCTGAAGTGCGGGATGAACCACCGATAGAACGACGCCAACCCATGGAAACTTCTAGCTTCCGTTAATGATTTGGGTCGTGGCCACCGTTGCATTGCCTGTACCTTGGACATGTCAACCTACAAACCCTCAGGTATGATAACATAGCCTAAAAAACACATTATCTGTCATACAAACACATTTCTTCAATGCATCATACAACTTTTCACGCCTTAGAACTGTCAGGACTTCTCACAGGTGTTGCATATGCTGTGCGAAATCGGTACTGTAGACCAAAATGTCGTCAAAGTATACCACAACACATTTACCAATAAATGGGTGTAAAACCTGGTTCATTACCCGCATAAAAGTACTAGGCGCATTGGATGATCCGAATGGCATGACCAGCCACTCATACAACCCTTCCCCGTGTCTTGAATGCCGTCTTCCACTCTTCCCATTCGCGAATTTGAATCTGGTGCTAGCCACTCTTCAAATCCAGTTTTGAAAACAAACGGGTACCACTCATTTGGTCAAGTAAGTCATTTAATCGACAGATAGGGAAACGGTACCTAACCATGATCTTATTAGTGGCTCGACTGTCTATACACATGCGACATGACTTGTCTTCATTTGGAGTGAGCAAGGCGGGTACAACGCAAAGGCTCAGGCTTTCATGGACAGAGCCCTTGGACAACAGCTCTTCCACTTGCCTCTGCAATTCCTCATGCTCGCTGGGACTTATCCTGTAATGAGGCCTATTTGGAAGGACTGCCCCTGGTTGAACATCATTGCGGTGCTTGATATCCATTGGGGTGGTAACCCATTAGGGAGGTCGTCCAGAAAAAAATCCTGGAACTCTCGCTAGAGCTCAACGGCGGCACCTGGCACCTTCCGTCCAACAAGAACAAACACCACTCCCAACTTGGGGGCTTCCTCCTTAAATATATCTAATGATAGTAACTTGGTGTCCAACCCCGGAGTAGTAAGTTTCATCCTCGGGGTTGCGCTAGCGGGAACCTACACAACCTCTGAGAATGTTTATGACCTAGCAATGGAAAGAGCTAGGGTTTGTGTAAAA